TTCTTGTGCACTGAACGTTGCATTGGGATTATATCTTTTGGTGAAAATTATTCAGTGGTTGGGAAGGCCAGACTACTTTAGTATTGGCTAGGGGTTTCAATGGATTGGTAATTTGGACGGATTGAATGGACCAATAAAAACTATTTAATTGGACCAGTTCAAATTTAACGATCCAAAGTATTTCTTGATTGGATTGAACTCCATCTATCTGTAATGAATTTGTATTGGATTAGTCAATATCTGATTCATTGATAGAAAATAAGAATATAGGTGTCAATGGACTTGATTTGTGTTAGAATCTATCTAAATTGAAACAATTTGAACAGATTAGATGGTCCAGACATTAAATTTAACTAGTTTAAAATATTCGTTAGATTGAATTGGACCTGATCCATTGTAATGGATTCACATTGGACTGGATCTGATTGGACCAATTGACACCCCTTATTTGGCCATGCCCATTGTCAATACTTGAAGTTCAGAAGTTTGTAATAGAATGAGAAGTTGAAATTTGATCATATATGATTACAAAATACCCACAGTCAACCAAGATATAAATATAATGCAGCTAAATGGTCAACGATCGAATATTTAATTGCACCCAGCCATCCACACTGATTAAGTCTTTGGATTATCAAGCGGGCAAGAAAATGAAAGATTTCGTATGGGCCAAAGCAAGATGGGTGTATAGGGATTATTTCTTTTAATTATTGGAAATTGAAGGGCAGACTGGTTTAGTGTTGGCCATGCGCAGTATACTGTCAATACGTAGAAGTGAAATTGAATATCAGTTACCCATGTAAGCATTTGTTATGGGGTCAAGTGCAGCATTTGCTTTACGGGTATTTGTTAGAGAATAAAAATCCATTTAAGGATCTTACTTGATAGCTTAAACTTTTAAGTTGAATGGTTCAGGTTTAATATTCCATCCTCCTAGCTTAATATTTTAGGTTAAATCGTTAATTACAATTTGCCAATTTGTACCCGCTATATATGTCATAGCTTTGGTCTACAATTATAGAATTACATTATGGGACAATGGACCGTTTGGTTTGATGAAAACGTATTAATAAATTAATCAACGCTTCTATTGATTGGGTCAATCTCTAACCCCAAAGATGGGACAATATATGATTAAAGGGGAAGGTCATTGACTCATTGTTATAGAAGTCTAACTATCTCATGATTCACTCGGGCAAGCTGGGTCTCTCTTGACTTTGATTTTAACTCATGGTGACGTTGACCAATTTCCCGTCCCAGAGAGAAAGAGAGAGAATGTATTTATATGTGAGTTTCCATGCGGTTGCCGAAGAAGGTGGCTGCTTACTTACGAAATCATTAATTAACTAAAGCTTATAAAAAAATATATATATATATATTAATTAGGTGGTGTTATGGTTCTCCCAAGTTCCACGTCTAACCACCTAAAAGGATTTCAGCTCCATCGATTCCTATAAAATGGACATACACCAGATGGATTGATAGCATATCAAAATTTCAGCTCTAAGTTCTTAATCTCCTTTTCTACTTGTTATTCATCATGGATAAGTTCTATGCAGAAAGAAGCAATGGCCCTTCTGTGGCTACAGCTACAATGCTCTTTTTTGTGCTTCTAATGGCTATCTCAAACATCACAGGTATCTCTCTCTCTATTAATTCATAACCCTCTTTATTCTGTTTAGTAATGGCCTCCACTGTGGGCCTCTTTCCCATTCTATAAACTCGTGTAGCCACCTTCAATTATTCTCCTTTTCTTCTAGCTAATTGATAATCTAAAAGCTTTATATTAGTTTTCTTTTTTTTTTTCAAGCATCTCTAAGGTATAGAATAGAATCAACTATGTGTTCTAAGACTGCATTTGGCATTCCTTATTGTAAGGATTTAATTCCTTTTTCGCAATTAAAAAGGAAACAACAAATCCTTAAGATAAGGAATGCGAACTGTGGACTTATGGTTACACATTTGGCCTCACCATTGTGTAAAGTTATCCAACCAAAAAAGCAGATCATTCAATATTCTGACCAAAGGCTACCACAGACCTGCTGCGAATTAAACCAAGGCTGTTTGCAGTTGGCCATATAACCCATTGAATTAAAGGGTGGTCATATAACCCCTACTCAGGCTGGTTTATGTTTCCCTGACCAATTCAAAAAACCAACCTTATAACCAATTTTGTCTTGGGAAAAATCTTAAAATACTTTGAAGATGTGAAAATTTAAGCCCAACAACTTAGGGTTGGTTACAAGGACCACGGTCTCGGTTGACCATTGAATCATTTCAATGATTTGATTATGTTAGCTAAGCCATATATAAGTGCAATGGGCCCATATACCATATAAAATTGTTCCTCAAGGAACAATTAGTGTAATGAAGGCCCTATTATGTGAAAACTTTAACACAAGGATATCTAGAAGATCCAAAACATTAATTTCAACCTGAAACTTTACATCCGCCATAAGCCCGTTTGGGTGGCATAAATTTCTCATGTTGTAAGGTAGACCTCAAATGAAGCCATGAATTGAAGTCGTGTTTGAAAAAAAACACTAGCTATGAAGCTAAAAGTACATTAACAAGAGCCAAGAAATTGGCTCTGCGCTGAATCTAGCTTCTCAAAAGTGGCTCAGTTATTGCAGCTAAATCAATGCTGAAGCCCACCCAAACGGTCTCTAAGAGGGGAGCTAGGTTTCTTGTTAAAGTTTCTATTAGGACCTCCAAATTAAGGTAGTGTTGAAACTACAGTTAAGACTCGGTTTTTCTCTATCTTCTGCAGCAGGTGCGCAAAGGATAGGTGTGTGCTACGGAATGTTGGGTAATAATTTGCCATCGAAAAGTGAAGTTGTGGCTCTCTATGAAGCCAATAATATACAGAGGATGAGAGTTTATGCTCCAAATCAAGAGGCTTTTCAGGCCCTGAAAGGCTCCAACATTGAAGTAATGCTGGGCGTCCCAAACCAAGACCTTCAACGTATCGCAGGCAGCGACCTAACCCCGGCCTATGACTTTGTATATGGCAATGTGGTAGCCAATAAAGATACTATCAATTTCAACTATATTCTAGTTGGTAATGAAGTCGACCTCAAATATTTCCAATATGTCCTCCCTGCCATGAAAAACATCCAGAGCGCAGTTGAAACAGCTGGGTTACAAGACCGAGTGAAGGTGACAACAGCCACTCACTCTGGAGTCCTGGATAAAACTTATCCTCCTTCCAATTCCGTCTTCCGATCCGAGTATCTGCAATTCATGCGACCCATCATTGGCTTCTTAGCAGAAAAAGGGTCACCACTCTGCGCTAATATCTATCCTTATTTCGCTTATATCGGAAACCCCAGCTCTATTAGGCTTGATTATGCCTTGTTTACTGCTCCAGAAGCTGTGGTATCTGATGACCAGTTGAACTACCACAACCTTTTTGATGCTTTGTTGGATTCTTTCTATGCTGCCGTTGAGAAGGAAGGCGGGGGATCTGTGAAGATTGTCGTATCTGAAACTGGTTGGCCAAATGCTGGTGAATCTGCAGCAACCACGGCCAATGCACAGACTTATTTGAACGGATTGATCCAACATGTGAAGGGGGGTACTCCCAGAAGGCCAAATGGTCCTATTGAGGCCTACATATTTGCCATGTTCGATGAGAATGAAAAGCCTCCTCTAAAGACAGAGACAGAGGCAATGACAACAGAAAGACACTATGGGCTTTTCAACCCAAATCAAAATCCCAAGTACCAAATTAGTTTCAGTTAACAACGATGGTTCAACCTTGAACGTGACAAAGAGTAGTTTCTGTTCTAATGTATTTTCATATTAAATAAAGGTTAGACACATAGGAATCACGAGTGCATGGAATATGGAAAAATTAATGACTCTAGCCAGTAGCTGTTTTACTTTTACCTTTGTGTTCTGTATAAGATATGTCATAATCAAAGTTTTTACTATTACAAGCAATAAATTGTAATTCAATTGTAAAGTTTGAATAAAAGAGGTTTCTAATTGTTGATTTTCTATCCCTACTGCAATGATAGATTATGATTTTTATTTGCAAATCAGTTCGATAATTTGCTCCTCATCTTTAAAATAAGAGTCGAAGAACAAGAAAAATCTATACTAAAAACTAGTGAGTGACCCCTCCACACAATTAATGGTTTCAAATAATTAATGTGTCCAAAACTCATGGAGATGCCTAGGGCTGATCTTCCCTCCACGTACCTGATCACTAGGGCTGCAAGTCGGGTAGTCTGGGCAAGGTTCTAAATATCGATACTTTATGTTTTACTTATTTTTTTTTTCAAATCGGTTTTTGGCTATTCTCTGAATCAGTGGCTGACCCGATACAATCTTTGTAGGGGCGTATCAGAAAGCCACTAGCATGATATGTATCGAACAATACGGGCCAATACCTATCAATATTTTGAACCTTGGGCTGGGCCAGGTTTAAGTTCAACCGAGGCCCAATCCTTAAAACCTGACCTAATGCCAGAGCCTGGCCCAAGCCCAAACTGTATCCAACCTTGTTTTATCTTAGCCTGTACTGAAATTTGATATACTCAGGTTGAGCTCGGCCCTGTGTTGGTCCAACTTATTTAATGAGTATGCACTAAAATTTGATATAAATGTATCTTTATATACGTTTATGTATTTATATATGATTAATCAAAAAAAAATACATATATGCATATATGAATGTAAATATATTTCTATATATACATACGTGTATGTTCATAGGGGTGTCAATTGGACTAGATTTGGTCCAACCTGATCCAGTCCAATGTGAGTCGATTATAAATGGACCAGGTCCAGTCCAATCCGATTAATGTTTTGGACCAATTTGGACCTCCAATTCAATGTCTAGACCATCCAATCTGTTCAAATTCATTTTGATTTAGATTGGTTTCAACCCGAACCCGGTCCATTGACACATATATTCTTATCTTATATCAATAGACCAGATATTGGCTTAATCCAACATAAATTTGTTACGGACGAACCAATTCCAATCCAATCTAATAAATATTTTGAACCGGATTGGTCCAATCCAATGTCTTGTTGGTCCATCCAATCCATCCAAATTGATTTTGGACTAGACGGGGTCCAATCCAAAACCGGTCCATTCACACCCTTATATGTACATAGTTGAATTGGGTCAAGCTATTTAACGGTGAGGTCCAAGCCCAACATGAAAATTAAAACCAACAAAATTTTTGGTCCCAGACCCAGCCGGAAAACCAAACGCCCAACTCAGCCTATATACAATTATGGGTTTTTTTTGGAGAATAATGGTTCAGCCCAAGGTCAGAATTTTTAGGCTCAATGTACAGTTAGGGTGGGTGCCAGCTCAGATTTGATGCCAATTCATGGGTGGGGTCAATGTCAGGTTGGCCCAAGGTTGCACCCCTACTGATAACAGTCCAGTTTCTGGAATTGATTTCTTCCTACCAAAGTCAACACTTTTTTTAGTGCAGTGTTCTGTGGGTAGGAAATCCAAAAATTAATAGAGTTGGTATCTCCTGCCAAGAAAACATGTTCCAACCACCTACCAATTTGATCTACCACGCATATCTCACTGAAACTGGGGACCCAGTATAAAAGTGGGATCCGCCATGTATGGGATGTGCGATGTTAGATGATGTTGGTAGGCTGTTGGAATGTATTTTGTTGGCAGTTGATTAGGACTCGAAGTTGTGATGGGTTATAGGATAGCTGAATGGAAATAAGTCATTCAATTTTTTTTCTTGGGAGTTCATCCCCATATCCATAACCCTCCAACCCTAAGTGGAGGCAGTAATTGATCTAAATCTCTTCTACAGCCAGCTAGAGACCTTACCAACTGAGTCAATTTGATTAAGGCGCGTCTTTCTGCGTGAAGAAATGATGAAAAAATTCGAAAAACTCTGTTTGGAGCTTTCCGAAAATAGCTTAAAATGGGTTTTACTCGTCTTTTTGGGGAGGCATCTTTTGGAGGCTAGATCTTTTTCCAACCAAATAGGAAAAGACCAAAATGGGGCCTAACTCATTCATTTGCTGTCAAACAGCTAGCTTCTAATATGGCTCAAATACTTGTTTCGCACATTGTATTTGGATTGAAATTCAAATTCACAAGCTTAATATGTAAAATTTCTTTAGATTAGTTTATGTTGAATGCTTTTGAAGGATTTTTTAACATGCATTCATGCACTTAAAGTTTTATTTGCCATTGATTGAGATATGGAGAAAGAGCAACATTTTCTGCACATTAGGAGTGTCAACAGATTGGATTTGGGTTGGACCCCTCCAAATCAAAATCAATGTCAACAGGTTGGACAGACTAAGACGGTATTGAATTGGACCAGTCCGGTCTTAATTGTCCAAAGTATTTATTGAATTGGGTGGGATTAAATCAATGGAAAACGCCCACTGCAGAATTCTGAAATTACAGCCCCCCATAGTCTATTAGTAGCCTCTATAAACTGCATCCTGCCCGTGGATTTGGCATCGTCCACTGTCAGGATTCATCCCACCATAGAATTTTGAGGTGGGTTGAATAGTCATTCTCCCTTAAATCAATAACCAGTCCATTGACATAAGATAAAGAGTACAGTCAGGTTTGCCTTGGACTCAATCCAAATTAAAACCAAATTGATTAGATTGGAAGTCTAGACATTGAATTGTACCAGTCATGGTTTTCAAAACTAGACCAGACTGGAAAAACTGAGAACCGGTGACCGGTTCCGTTTTTCCCAAAAACCGGATTTTTCCCCAAAATCGTTGCTTTTGGTCAACGAACCGCTGAACCGGACGGTTAATTATTCGAACGGTTTTGACTGTTTTTTATTTTTTTGTCAAAATGAACTGAAAATTCGGTTCAAACAATCGGATCATTCAACCCTGTAACCAGACCTTTGACCGATTCAATCTCCGGATCGATTTTAAAAACCATGGTACCAATCCAGAATTATTCAAAGTATTCGTCAGATTAAATTGAACATCGTCTAATCGAAATGGACTCATAGCACTGGCTCAGGTTGGACCAATATCTGGCCTATTGATAGCCCTATTATTGTACATGAAACCCATAACTAGTAATGGGAAATATTATACACTAATTCTACCTTAATAACTGAGTCCTTTGATTTTTTTTTGTTGGTTTGATTAATTGAAGTTAGATTGTTATATGATGCAGCTACACAAACAATTATAAGATGGATTGGGTGACAATAACTTGCTTTATACGTACAGATGAAATTGTTGATCTCTTAAAAAAAATCATCCCACCATGTATTAACAACATCTCCCTATAAAGAATAATATAAAATTCAGGAAATGTTTCCGATGTATAACTGAAATTCGTTGGTTGGGTCCTCAATCTGCTTTATGATCCTCATGCTCCAAAGAAGCTTTGGCGAGTTGCTAGCACATTGGTGGCTGCGAATGCTTCAATGCTTCGGGTCATCTTTTTGCCTAGGCCGTAGATTGGTGGACTTGCAACAAATTGATCTTTAAGCAGTTGTGTTTCGACCCAATTACAACAATTACTCGTTCCATATGGATTCCATATTCCATCTGAAGATTGATCGAGCGGCCATTCCTGACTCATGGAAACAGAGGAATTACATCTGAATTAGGCTGCACTAAACCTGTCCACAATATCATCAGGACAAATTTTGATGTTAGTGTTAGTAATAGCTGAAGTCAGGAGTGAATCTAATGATTTGGGATCAAAATATGAGTGCCACTGTGCCAGCAGTGTTTGCTTTTAGAAGCTGAAGCTTGGGCATGTTTCTATGAATATAATTACGGTATGCTGCAGATGCTAAGTGCATCGCCGACGCCTTTCATTCTTGAAAGCGATGCACTTAGCATTACTCTAAAATCTCTCTCTTTCGGATGAATGAATTATACTACTTGAACAATTCTCTCAAAAAAATCAATTTTCTCTTTCTAATTTTTATATACTCATACAACCCATTCTTTTTTTTTCTTTTTTTTTGTAGAAACTCACACCCATTTAGTTGTTTTAAGAATCAAGATAATAGGTTAGGTTGTTTGTCTACAATTATGAAATAAACTGTTGTTAATTTTTGTGATGAAAGATGAAATTCATATTTTACCCACATTTGCCAAGGCCTCTATCTAAAAAGACTAATTTTTAATAGACACTCTCTAATAATATCTAATAAAAATTGGTAATGATCAAAACCATTTTTTATGCGTTTGGAACCATGAGCATTTATTCACTAAATGTTAATAAACACATAGGCACCACTAAGCGTCACTAGGCACCACATTAGTAAATCAGTGAATAAATGTCTACCCATTTGAAGAATTGCTAAAATGAAGCTTCCCCTAACGGTAGGCATGCACATAAATCAATGCGACCGTGTTTGCTTTTGCAATGTCTGCATATGGTAGGCACTCACATAAATTTCTACTAAAGTTGCAAACTATTAGAAGGGGTTTTCCAATGCCTCTTAAAAAAGACTTTTTAAATGTTATTGTTACATTTAAAAGAGACAATTAAGAGAGAGAGAACTTTGGGTTTTTCAAGGCCTCTATTTTAATGCATGTTATTTTTAAAATAAGATAGACATTTTAAATGTTATTATTACATTTAAAAGAGAGAGAGAGGGCATAGTAATACAACATGATAAAATAAAATATTAATAAGTCAAATAATGAAACATGCACCAAAAATAATAAGTCAACATAATAAAGTATAATATTATAGGTTGAGGTTAAACAATCAAACATAAAACACCAAAAATAAAAATATTATTTTAAAATTATTAATTTAAAAAGCCACTAAATTTCCACTTAAAACTAATAAATATTAGCAAAACATAGTAAAAATTAAAAGCATTTCAATTCCACTTAAAAATCAAACTAAATAAACACTAATAAAAAGAAGAAATTTAAATATAAAAAATATTAATTAATAGTTTTAATAATGTTATGATTTAAATATGAGTTTGATATATTGCAAATAGAATCCATGTTCCAATGTTGTATTTTGTTTTGTTTATTCTTTTTATTTTATTAGATAACTCTATATTAATGCATTTTTAATTAATTAATAATATTATTAAAATTAATAGTTTTTGTGAGCTCAAACCTTTATTGTGCATAGTGCCCAAAATGTAAAACCCGTTTTATCACTCAGACAATGAAGACAAGTTAAACAGGTATGTATTGACCCATTTTCAAAAATGGTTCTGCTACTTTTATTAACCCATAACGTGTCATACACAACATGCAACAACAACAACAACAACAATAATAATAATAATAATAATAGAATTTGAAATCAAATAGCTATAATTAATAAAAATTATTAAAGTTAATAAAAACATAATATCATAATACTTCATCTGCCTCAAATTCATTTAACAAGTATATGCCTCTACACTGCTTAAAAGTCTTTTGGCTTATGAAGCGGGGAAGAAGCAAGTGGATAAAATGAAGATATCCCGTGGGCAGAACGTAGAATTGGGATTATTTCTTTTGGTGATCAAAATTATTCAATTGTTGGGTAGGCAAGACAGCTTTAGTGTTGGCCGTGCTCATTGTAAATATGTCAAAGTTCATGAGTTCATAATCAAAAACAAGAAGTAAAATCTGATTATATAAGTGATCACAAAATAATCCAGAGTTAATCATTCATTTTTAGCGGATGTATATCATGTAGATAAGTGATCATCGATAGGGAACTTTATTTCTCTTCCTGGAATTATGCTGCATCTTCATGGTGATGTTAATTGTCAAAGTCACTTCATCGATATTCAAACTTCTTCAACAAAACAGGGAGGAATACTTTGTAAAACGTCTCTTTGTAACCGTTATTGTTGCTCTAGAAAATAGTGTTACAGCAACGTTATGTAAGAAAAAACGGTGTTCCAGGAAACAGCCTCTTGTTTGGAACTGTTTTTCCATAGAAAACGGTGCTCTAAGCTATGTCTTGAAAATCGGGGAGGCATGGCTTGAAGCAACACTAAATTTGGCGTTTCCTAGAGCTGCAACTCGTTGCTGCCAACAGGGTAGTGATGTGGCAGTGGATGATGGGTAGAAGTGTAGAAAACATTTCCTAGAGCATTGGTACCAAAAAGAAAAGGTTGTTGTTGCTCCAGGAAACGTCCTACCTTGCAGCAACAATTCCAAACCAAAAAAAATGCACCATTTTCTGAGAAAACGGTGCTCCAAATCACACATCAGCAGAGAAAACAGTACTACAACTACAATATTGATGCCAAACATATACAAAGAATACAAATACGTTTTTGCACTCTATAAATTTGTATTCATACTCTTTCCAAACTGAACCTAAGGAATTGTTCAATTTCAAAGGTTTAGCTCTTACTAGGTTTTTATTTTATAACATGCCCATTCATTCGAAAACCCAATGGACTTTAATAAATGTGGACAAATACAAGCCTATACCATCTTAAAAAACCATTCAACCTCAAGCTGTTGTTAGATGAGATATCTGAATAGGTTTTTATTACGCATGTGGAGGACGGAGTGAATCGATAGGATCATTTTATTAATTAACCTTGGAGTCATGTATTTAAGTGGTCAACGATCGGATGGCTAGTTTGCCTCCACACTGGTTAAAAGTCTTTGGATTATCAAGTAGGGAAGAAACAACAAATGGGATCAGATGAAGATTTCCCATGGGCTAGACGTTGTATTGGGGTTACTCCTTTTGTCTATGATTATTTTGGGTTACATTGTGGGACATGGACCTGTTTGGTTGGATGAAAACGTATTAATGAATTAATCAATGCTTCGATTGAATGGGTCAACAGGCTACGACGGGCTGGGTACGTATTTCGCATATGCGAAAATATGAAACTAATTGCTGTCTCTATCTCTAACCCCGAAGATGGACCGAGCAAAGGGGAGGCCCATTGTTCAACAAGTCCAACTATCTCATGACTCACTCATACCGGTCGAGCCGGGTCTCTGTTGATTTCAATTGGGATTTGGACTGATGAGATGGGATCATCATCATCATCCGTTGGCTTCCCGAAGATACGTTGAAGACAATTGGAACCGTATCTTATGGATCCCACCATATTTGAAGAATCGAAGGGCGAATGCATTAATTGCTAATAAATAGCTAATCAATGTAATTGATATTACATTACTGAATTATATAATTCTTTCTGATAAAGCGAAAGATTTTTTCCACATCATAGATTTTCCTACTCTTTATTAAAAGGAGGAAAAGAAAAGGTCAATCTAGTAGTTGGGCTTGGGCTTAGCAATCCAATAAGCATATTCCCAGCGTATCGAACTCAAACTACCAACCCACCAGCAACGTTTTGTGTTTGAAGAAAGATGATGAAGATGTGAAGTCTTGCATTTATAGTTTTATTCTATGCATGTCAATGGACACAGTAGGTGAAGTTTTTTGAGTTTTTTTTTTTTTAGTCTTTCATTATTAGACAATAGCAGTTATCCGAATTGTTTATGCTCTTAAATTTAAACCCCATCTTCCCCTATAAAAGGGGCCCAAATGGTGGCAAGCTACATAACGAGATACATCCAGGCTTTTGCTCTTCTTGGGTGTATAGCAGGAATCAATAAATACATCTCCGACTGAAATTTAATGGCTACAGGTTTCTCTCTCTCTCTCCATGCCTCTAGACTTCTATATTATGGATTAGTCTAATCAATATTATCAAAGAAGTGCTTGTAACTTGTGGACCCTAAGTCTATGTTTGGTTGCAAACCAGAAAAGTAGAATCCTAAGTTTCCTTTAGGATCAGTTTGGAAGGAGTACAAATATAAATATGTAGAGTGCAAAACCTTATATTTTGAATTATTTTATATGCATTTATTTGTACCCCTTCCAAACTGAGCCTTAAGAACTTCCGCTCCGTCTCTCTCTTATTTTTGATAAATCCAACATAGCTTAAGTTCTTATTTGATATATGAAAGTTATCAGATATTTTTTGTATTTTTGTTTTTGTATGAGGTGGGGATTAGGGGATTGGACTCCGAATTAAATTCCAAACCAACTAGATCTAATTCCGAGAGTGAGAAAATTCATTTAGAGCAGAAAGAAGTGAGGAATGTAGGCCGACCCAAGTACGTAGAAACTCAATAATGGCCAAGTGACTTTAGGGTTTAACAAATCGAATTGGGGCAGGGGCTTACCTTAGTCTAATCCAATCCAATCCAACACAACCTGACTTGCACCCTTGGAAGAAAAGTGGGGAATAAGGCGGAGTCATGCCTAGCTCTAGCTGGTACATATGAGCTTAAATCAGCCCCCAACAGCATATTTCTTCCATGTATTGGGAACATCTCCTAATGATAATATCAGAAAGATGATATCATCATCGGGAGATATTCCCAATACATGATGAGGATGTGCTGTGGGATGCCGTGAGGGGCAATCTTGTGGGGGGCTGATTTGATCTGGGCATATATGACTCCAATGAGCCCATATAACCTAGAATTATTAATTGTTGTAATGAAGGCCTATTATGTTAGAACTTGAACACAACAACAAGAATATCTGCACGACCCAAGACTTCAATTCCAACAAGCTTCTCCCAAGCGCTTGGGACTCTAAGTGGGGGGGGGNTTAGGATTCGTGTTCAAGTTTCTATTGAGACCTCCAGAATTAGTGTTGAAACTACATACAACTAAACTAAGATTTTATTGTTCTCGATCATCTTTTGCAGGTGCATATTCTATAGGTGTGTGCAACGGTTTGTTAGGTGACCCTTTACCATCACCACAGGAAGTTGTGGCCCTGTATAAAGCCAATGATATAAACAAGATGAGACTTTATGCGCCTCATCAACCCACTTTTCAGGCTCTCAAAGGCTCCAATATTGAAGTAATGCTTGGCGTCCCAAACGAAGACCTTCAACGCATAGCAGGCAACGACTTAACCCCGGCATATGACTTCGTCTATGGCAATATAGTCGACAACAGAGCTACTATCAACTTCAAGTATATTGCTGTTGGTAATGAAGTCGACCTCCAATATTTCCAATATGTCCTCCCTGCCATGAGAAACATTCAGAGGGCAGTTGAAGCAGCTGGGTTGCAAAACCAAGTGAAGGTGACAACTGCTACTTACTCTGCAGTCCTGGATAAAACCTATCCTCCTTCCAATTCCGTCTTCAGAGCTGAGTATCTGCAATACATGTGGCCTATCATCGGCTTCTTAGCAGAAAAAGGGTCACCACTCTGCGCTAATATCTATCCTTATTTCGCTTATATCGGAAACCCCAGCTCTATTAGGCTTGATTATGCCTTGTTTACTGCACCAGGGACTGTGGTAACTGATGGCCGGTTCAGATACCAGAACCTTTTTGATGCCATGTTGGATTCTTTCTATGCTGCTGTTGAGAAGGCAGGCGGACCCTCTGTGAAGATTGTCGTATCTGAAAGTGGTTGGCCAAATGCTGGTGAATCTGCAGCAACCACGGCCAATGCACAGACTTATTTGAACGGCCTGATCCGGCATGTGAAAGGAGGTACGCCCAGAAGGCCAAATGGTCCTATTGAGGCTTACATATTTGCCATGTTCGATGAGAATAAAAAGCCTCTTCCAGAGACAGAGAGACACTTTGGGCTGTTCTTCCCAAATAAACAACCCAAGTATCTATTTTAATGTATTTTCATATTAAATAAAGGTTAGAAACCTATGAATCACGAGTCGAATAAGGAAAAATTACTCTAACCAGTGGCTTCTTTGTATGTGAAGTTTACAATAATGCATGAAAGTTTTTTAGTTTTACTATCATAATAATATATTATAGTTCAATTTTAAAGTTTGAACAGAAAAGAATAAAGTCTTTATCGGCTGATCAGTTTGATAATTTGCTCCTCAATTCTCATCATCTCCTTCAAGAGAGAGTTGAAAACAAGAAAAGAAAATCTATATACTTATAATTATGTTATCCACGTCGCCTTACATCACATTACTTTTCAACCCCTTAAAGTTTTGCGAGTTTTTGAATAAAAAAACAAAAATGAGGTTCTTTAAATTCAACAACAACTTTTTTTTTTTTAAACTGCTTGTAATCTCTATTTTCTTCATTTTTTGCGTTTTTTCTTATTTTCTTTTGTTTTAAATATATAAAACAATAATCATTGCTTGTCTTGATTAAATTAATAAAGTTGCACACTCTTAGAAAGACCTTTCGGTTTCCAATGACTCTTATTTTAATGCATGTTATTATTACATTTAAAAAAGACATTTAAGAAAGAGACCTTTGGGTTTTTCAAAGCCTTTTATTTTAATGCATGTTTATTATTACATTTAAAAGAGAGAGAGAGAGAGAGAATAGTAATAATATAAATATGTTGAGGTTAAACCATGGTTTCCAAAATTGGACCGGATTGGATGGTCGGACCAGAAAAAACAGGAACCAGTTATGTGATCAGTTCCGTTTTACCCCATAATTGTTATTTCTCCCAAAACTGTTGATTTGGTCACCAAACCATCGACCCAAGCGGTCGAACCGTTTAATAGTTTGACCGGTTTTTATTTTTTAAAATATTTTATTTTTTGTCAGAACAGACCGTCCATTCGGTTTGAACGGTCAGACCCATGAGATGCACGGGAACTGGACCCCTAATCGATTCATTGTACGGTTCAGTTTTAAAAACCTTGGGATAAACAATCAAAAATATATTAATTTAAAAATCCACTAAACTTTCAATAAAAATAAATATTAACAAAACTTAGTAAATATTAAAAATGTGTTTCAATTCCACTTAAAAATCAAACTTAATAAATGCTAATAAAAATAAGAAATTTAAATATTAATTGATAGTTTTAATAATATTATTACATAACTTATGAGTTGAAACCATTTTTGTGCATAGTTAACTCATTAAAATGATAAAAATTAAAGAAAATTTAAAATTCAAAAGCTGTTTTATTAATAGTATTTTTATTGCAAAAAGTACTCATATGCAAAAATTACTAAATAATAATGAAAAAATACCAATAATTAAGTAAAAATCCAAAAAATCTGAAAAACATAAACATAATTAAAATACTAAAAATAATTAAAAAATATTCAAAACTAACAATATTTTATATTAATAAGAGTATTTGCGCAAAATAATTAAAGTACAAATAATAGTACTTTATTATTAAAAATTACCAAAAATTATTAAAAGTACCCAAGCCAGAATTATTGAAAAATATTGAAAATTAGATGTATTCTTTTATTAACTATGGTATTTATTTAGTTATTTAATTTATTTTTATTGAAAGCAATTGCAAATTAATTTTGTAGTGACTAATATAAAAAAGTAAATGCTGAAAATAGTGAAAATTATTGAAAATACTCATATGCAAAAAAATTATTGAATAATAATGAAAAAACACCAAAAATTAATTAAAAATCCAAAAATTATAAAAAAACTAAAGCTTAATTAAAATACCAAAAATATATAAATTAAAATAATTGTATTTTATTGCAAAAATACAAAATAAAAATGAAAAAAAATATGTATTTTAATTATTAATTGTAATATATTTAACAATAATTATTTTTAAACTGTAATTAACAATAATTATAATTTAAGCTATAAATAGTATAAAATTACATTTAATTACCAGAAAATTACATTTAATTAGTTTTAGCTAAGAAATTATCAATATTTTTGAAAAAATGCTAATTTCCAGAAATTATTGTATTTTATATAAGTACAACAATTAAATAAACCTGATTAGATCTATAAATTTGAAGGCTCAAGCAACTATTTTCTTTTGAGTTACACCTAACCCAATTAGATGTAAAAATAATTAATAATAGTTATTTTTAAATTGTAATTAACAGTAATTATAATTTAAGCTATAAATAGTAGAAAATTACATTTAATTACCAAAGAGTTATATTTAGTTACTAGAAAATTACATTTAATTAGTTTTAACCAAGAAATTAGCAATATTTCTGAAAATATGATAATTTCCAAAAATTACTGTATTTTGAATAAATATAGTAATTTAATAATTACAATATTTTAATAATTAATAATAAAAAGTAACAAATCATTTATAACTTAACTTAACCCGATTAGATCTATAATTTTGAAGGCTCAAGCAACTATTTTCTTTTGAGTTAGGTCTAACAATAACTTAACATAACCTAATTAGATCTAAAAATAATTAACAATAATTATTTTTAAATTATAATTAACAGTAATTGTAATTTAAGCTACAAATAGTAGAAAAATACATTTAATTACAAAAAAGTTATATTTAATTACCAAAAAATTATATTTAATTAGTTTTAACCAAGAAATTAGCAATACTTTTGAAAATATGAAAATTTCCAGAAATTACTATAATTTAAAAAATTCAATAATTTAATAATTATATTATTATAATAATTAATAATAAAGAGTAACAAATCATTTATAACTTAACCTAACCCGATTAGATCAATAAATTTGCACGCTCAAGCAACTATTTTCTTTTGAGTTAGGTCTAACTGAGATATGCACCATACCCACACATTATAAGGGATAATTAGATTCCAAGTTTAATTGGGTATCAAACTTTTGGAGTCCAATGATGGCTTTAGCGGATAAGGCCCAAGCTAAACAACCCCTAATAAGCTCAACTTGGAAGTTATATGTATATATGGTAAATAGTATTATATAATATTTAAATAAAAAATTTATATTAATATATATATAAATGTTATATATTTTTTATAATAGACTAAAATTAAATAAAAATTTTATTTTTTAAAAAATCATAGTTTTATAATTAACACAAGTCTCTTTATCAATAGAAAATGTGCAAGCCCGAGCTTGAGCCCGGCCTAACCATCGAGCCTAGATCTTGAGCTTGAGCCAACCCTTATATAAAGTCCGAATCTCAAGCCTAAGGCCGGAGCCCGATTTGTACACAAATTGTCTTAATTTAAATATATCTTTATAAACTAATATTATATTAATTTAGTAATAAATTAATAAACTAATTTATATTTCCTGATAGTGAATTGATATTTATTAATAATTTAAGAAGCATATATATATATATATATATATATATATATATATATATATATATATATTATAACATAAGTACTTTTTTATATATATAATAGTGTCGGGCTAGGTTTATTTGAGAAAGCCTGGGCTCAAGCCCATGGGCCTAAAATTTTGTCAAAGCTTGAAAAATAACAAGTCAGGCTAGGTTGGGCCATCAGGGCTACTTGACCCATGAATAGGTCTAATTTGTATATATAAACAATTGTATATATAAAAAATCATATAAAATACAAATTTAAACATCTTTCTCAACTTTTTTTAAAAATGGACATTTCATAGCTTGGCCCCTTGGCCTAACCCAAGGCCATGGACCAGCCCGACATGGGCCCATGCAGGCTTGGGTCGTGGGTTGTGCCCAACCGACCCCCCCCAAATTATTATAGGTGAGGGAGGCACGGCCCGAGATGCCCCATGGGCCAACACAGCACAGTGCGGGCTGCATGCGGGTGTCGTATTGGCACAACACAACCCGATTTACACATCTACCTTACCCACCCAATACTAGGGACGGGGCAGGGAATTTGAGGATTCCCCATCCTTGATGAGGAGTGGGGTGCCTTGCCCCTGAACTCGCTTGATAACCGATATTGAGGAATGGTTGCCTAGCCCTGGACCTACCTGGCACTGGGGACGAGGTGAGGATGGGGTAGAGTGTCTTGACTATGGTGTAGGGACAGGGATGGGGTGCCTCACCATGAACCCACCTCATTGTCATTTCTATATAATTGCTAATTATTAGTGAAATTAATAAAAATGTTACCTTTTGTAATTATTTTTATTTATTTAAAGTTAATCAAAATTTTATTTAAAAATAATAACAATTATTAAAATCACTACAAATTATTAATAAAACTAAATTTATTAAAAAAAAATTATTCATATTAAATTAACAACAATTATTTTCTATGAATCAACATTAAATGAAAAATAGAATTATTAAAATTTTAGATATTAACAATAACTTTGCATCGCCCAGGTCCCCGCTAGTAAAGTGATAAAGACAGAAGAGTAAAGATCCGACTGCTAATGGGGATTATTTTTATTCTAACAGTTTTCTAGGAATCGTATCAACTATATCGATCCCTACCCTTTGCATGTTTCCTTAGGCACAGTTTGAAAGGAGTACAAGTACAAATATGTAGAATGCAAGACCTTGTATTTTATATGTATTTGCACTGTACATATTTACATTTATACTCCTTCCAATCTGAGCATTACTGTTTGGTTAAAATTTTGCTTTTGAGCTTTGGACTGGGAAAAACAAAAATTTGTAAGTATTTTAAGCGTTTGTTATGAATTACTTTTAAAAACATAACAATCTAAAGAGAAAACATTTTTAAGCCCGAAAGCATAGAGTCCAAAATTAGGGTTTCATGATGTTGAGTTTTAAATGCACAAATCATGAAACTTATCCCAATATGATCTTTAATTTCTTACTTATTTTTTCCAACTCAACAACTTAAAATCCAAGTTTAAACTTTTGATACTATATGCCCATATCGGGCAACAGGCATATCATATTGTATCAGTGGGGTACTGATAAAGGGAATAAAGGGTTTTGGGAATTTGGGCATATTTCACGGGGTAGGCATACTCCCTGGTCATAGATTGGGTTGGGCTGGGCCAGGGTTATCTACTATGAAAATGGTTATATATAGCTTGAACTTCAGGCCTGAAATGTAAGTCCAATTTCGGTTCATACTGCTGGCCCAATTAGTTTCAATTAGGCACGCGAGCTTTACAATCCGAACTCGAATGGCTCATAAAAAGCTCAATTTATTTCCACACTTAAATATATTTTAAAATAAAATATTATATTATCTATTATATTTGTCATTTATAATGTATCATATAATATTTTGAGACACGGCTTATATGCCAATTTAGAAACTAGAAATGATCACACATGAATAGAAGACATGCCATCATAATAATGAAATCCTAATTAATCTTTAGTTGTCATGTTTACGAAGAATTGCATTCAGTCAGATCTGACTTTGTAAGTGCTTAATATAATTATTCGTTAAAAAAGGAAATGAAAAAGCAATATATCTATTAGTTGACCCATTGTGTGAACCACCCTATTTAACTAAGGAGATGTTTGGAACTGTGGTCGTTTTTCTGAAAAACAGTACCATGTTGGATCTACATAGGTGTTTCAACAAATATCAATATATTTGATTGTTTGGTTCACCCGTTTTTTGAAAAAATGCTTGAACTGTGGGCATTCCTTGTAAATTGGGACCCCACCTATGTATGAAATGTTAAATTTGGCGTTTCATGCATCAGTGAACTGTTGCCCCCAACGGTTGATTGATTGACGATTACGTGTATCTTATGTGGTGCTTACCTGTTAGCGCATATATGAAAAACGGTGATGAAAATCACCTTATCAAACAACATAGTGTTGTTCACCGTCTATATGGCAGAAATACTCCAAAATAAAATTAAAACATTTTTTTATGAAAAATAGGTCTTAAAAACATGGACATTTTTTCTTAAAAATCAGTCCCAACAAAATCTCACCGTTCCAAACACCATCTAAAATGCGTGGACATAGTGCATAGCTTAGACAAAATAGGTGACAGTGGTTCCATGTAAAACAAGCATTTTCCTCTCTTCTCAAGAAGTTCAATTGGAGAGATCGGGCAGATATTGCTCTCCCATTGCGTATATATAAAGTTCTGTCCATGATTAATGACAAGAAATAAAACAAAATATGGCAAGGTCAGAGTGATGCTTTGAGCTCTTTAGTTGGATAATGCAGCATGAACTCATTCACCAATGCGACAAGCAAGCTCTTCCTCCACATTTAGACCTGGCAAAAAATTGACCCAACGTACAAATCTGAACCAATCCAATCCAAAAAAACAGGGTTAGGGTCTCATATTTAGCTACTTAAATATGAGAATGACCCGACTCGATTTAATCCGAAAAAAACTGGGTTGGGTCATGAATCAACCTGCTGATTTGATTGTCAAGTCTAATTAAGACTATTTATGCATTATTAAAAGTTTCCACTCTTTAATTTTTCTATTTAGTCTTTACTTTTTAAATTGTTAAATGTTCAATTTTTTGTATTTTATATTTGGAATTTTAAGATTAATTTTTTTAATTTTGGCATTTTATATATAGTTTTTCTTTATTTTTTTAAATTTCGATTATTTTTTAGAATGACCTAAATTGACCCATGGGTCAATCCTGACCTAGACATTTACGATTAGGTTTTAGCATTTGACAACTAAACTCGAAATCAACTCGTAGGATGTTGATCCAATCCAAATCCGACCCACCCAACCCAATTGCCAATTGCCACGTATATCCACATCAAACCATTGGAATTTGTTAGAGCTGATGCATGATATGATCAACTCATCCCAAGTCTAAGAAAAATTTGTGAAGTACGAATACATCCGTTACAGAATTCTGAATTCCAGTCCCCCGCTTACTGTTAGCCCACTCCCCCTATAAACCACATCTTGCCCTTGAATTTGATATCAATTCATGGTCAGGATGGATTCCCCTGTACTATGAGACTTGTAATCTGGGCTAATTTGTCATTCTCCCAAAATTTTGCGTACTGGACCCTTCATTTCCATCCTCGTCAATCCTTACGCATAAAAGAAATATATGAATCGTTTGCCTTAAATTGGAGTATATCGAATATCTCGACACCGTCATCACAGTTTGTGGAGTCCAGAAGACTTGCACGCTGATGAATGGCTACGTGCTTACATCAGGTCTCTCTCTCTTAACAAAAAATAACTTCAATCCTAGCCATTGAAATTGTAAAACTGGTGAGCATTTATTGTTTTGTTCTGAAGCGAACAAAGACGACGATCCATTTGATCATGTACTCTGTCACTGCAGATCTCCTTGATGGGTTAGTTCAGTCCACTCAAAGGGTTTGTACACGAATTTCAGTTGAAGAAAAGAAAGATTTGCACGCCGAGTGGTGCATCAAATTTAAGTGGGTTTTTAAGTCTTGCATTTATGTTGTCATTGGGAATGCTAAAAGGTTGCAATTGATTAGTCCCTTTGTTGAAAGGATAAGGCAGTAAAGTAATCCAAAAGGATGAAGTTATTAGCTCTTAAGTTTTCAATTTTGGCACCTATAAAACGGGCTCAAATGGTGATGAGCTACAAGAGATACAGATCTTGGCATCCTTCTTTGACCCAGAGCCACAATCAACCCCCTTCTTCTACTACATCTTGGACTGCTTCTGCTAATGGCTACATCAGGTCTCTCTCTTTCTCTCTCTTTTTCTGTGTATGTTTCTAGTTTTCACTTTATAGGTGCGAGAATCTTGGTGTGTAACAGCTGTTTGTCCCTTTATATTTATGTCATCAACATACTTGAATAAGTTGTGAGCCATTAAGTCATTTGGTTGTAATCACTTATCAGACGGCCAGCTTCCAAGGCTCAAAACCTTATTGTATTTGGATTGAAATTCAAGTCCACAATTTTTTTTTTGAGAAATTTTAACATTTGCTGCACAACCCATAACTTGTAATAGGAAATATCATGCGATAATCTGATTCTGTCTTTATGAGTAATATCTTTGATTCAAATTTGGATGAATAAACTAACGGAGTTCCAACCATGGATATATGGGTGCAGGCACACAAGCAATTGGCGTTTGCTATGGAATGAGTGGCAATAACTTGCCACACCCAGATGAAGTCATTGATCTCTATAAAAGAAACAACATTCAGAAGATGAGGCTTTATGCTCCAAATGAATCTGTTCTTGAAGCTCTGAAAGATTCTAGCATTGAGCTCATGCTAGGCGTCCCAAACCATGAACTTCAAGTTGTAGCAAAAGATCAAAACAATGCATCCAAATGGGTCAAACGATACATAGTAAGATACAAAGATTCTATCAAATTCAAGTTTGTTGTTGTCGGCAATCAAGTCAGTCGCACCCATCCAAATGATTTCAAATATATCCTCCCTGCCATGAGAAACATGTACATTGCAGTTCAAACAGCTGGGTTCCATGACCAAATCAAGGTATCGACTGCAGTTTACTCAGGAGACCTCACTGATACCTACCCTCCTTCTAGCTCTATCTTCAAACCTCAGGTGCTCTCAGCAGGCATGCGTGAAATCATCTTCTTCTTGGTCCAAACGCGGGCACCTTTACTTGCTAATGTCTACCCCTTCTTCGCATATTTGCATAATCAAAGAGACATCAAGCCTGAATATGCCTTTACTTGCCAATCAGTGAATCAAGTTGATTACCAGAATCTATTCGACGCCATGGTCGATTCTTTCTATTATGCTCTTGAGAAGGTGGGTGGGCGCTCGTTGGATGTGGTTGTATCAGAAACTGGTTGGCCAAATTCTGGTGACTCTATTTCCACTTCAGAAAATGCAAGAAAATACTACAAAAAACCTCATCGGACATGTGAAGTCTGGAAGAGGCACTCCAAGAAAGCCTCGAAAGCCCATAGAAACATACCTATTTGCAATGTTCGATGAGAACAAGAAGGGTGGACATGCTAGGGAGAAACATTTTGGGCTGTTCTTTCCAAATAAACAGCCCAAGTACCAAATAAGTTTCACTTAATATAAGAGTGAGATGTGAATATTGTGGTATTGATTAAGAAGGTCCTGCACTCCTGCTTGAAGCTTTGATGTATGTTCATGTTAAAGAAAGGGTAGGGTACACTTAAATTAAGGGCAGTAGGAGGGCCCCTCATAGTTTATCCCCTCACTAGATGAATGTGATGGTAATTTAATGGTAGGTCCTGCTTCGCTATTTCTATGTATGTTGATGCTTAATATAAAGCATAATATAGAAGGCCTTATCTCCAGAACTGCTCCACGTAGCTTGCTGTTTATGCAATCAGATATAATTGGAGTGATATGTCAAACAGAAAGTTATCAACACCCTCCATTAAACTCTTTTTTTTTTTTTTGTTTTTTATGTTTAAAATCATAGGGAAGATAATTTCCAAATGGGTTTCACTCTCACACCCAATCCATATCTGATCCAAATCTATACAAGATCCATGAAAGTAACTATCCAGTCTACTCAGGCCTTTTTTCTTTTTTTGATTATTTTAGTAAAACCCAAATGGAGAATGTCAATTCAGCCCGGGTCAGACTTTGTAGTTACCCCAAATCGAAAACTAGAAATTATGCAGAGTTTTATCTAGGTTCAATCCACTCAATTTCATTGCATTACGGGGGTGATCACTTTTAGACCAGCCCCAGGCTATGTCCCTTTATTATAGATGCTAAGCCCAGACCGGCCCGCTGAAGCCCATGGTCTCCCCTTTCACGTCTCTAGCTCCTGATCTCTGCTTCACCTCTCCTAATCTCCTCTCCACACTAGAGTCCATACTGCAACGATGATGGCAGCCTAGTTCCTCAAGTCACCTATCTGATTCCTTCCCTATTGCTTCGTTCTCTTCCTCATCCTCTCCATATCTCTTCTCCCTGTTTGCACAGCTCTCTTCAGATTTCTGGGTCAAAGAATCGGTAATACTGATCTAAGTTATAGCATCCCTTGACCTTGAACCCACCAAACTGTCTTCGAAATTTGAAATCAAAGTTTGCAAAATCCTTTTGATGTAGGTGCATGTGGCAGGACCAGGATGGTGCCATGTGGCATCGACTGAAATAAATCCTGGCTGTTCACTGCTAACAACCTCAACCAACGCCCAGGCGAGCTCAAATAGATGTGTCACTCCCTATGTAAGTTATTTTGGCTTTTTCTACTCTCAAGTTCTTTAGCATTTGAGTGACCTAATCTAAGATCCTCCCCTCAGGTATCGTCTAACCCCTTGATATGCACTTGACTAATTTGACTGTTGGAGTCTTCGCTCTTGTGATAATACCAAGAGCTTTTCTAAGTTGCTCTTTAATCCTTATGTTGGATATTGAAACCCTTGGACAAAGTAAAATTATCTTATTGCCCTCGGCCCATCCTTGGCAGCAACACCTTTAAATATGAAAAGAGCAGCACAGTATTTGGAATTGCTCCTTTCCACGGTGGATGAAAGAACCATGTTGCTGTATGCTTGAGATAATCAACTTTTCATGATAAAGGAGGATTCCCTTCTTTCTAGGAGCAAAAATGAACTCCTAAACAGAGGATGAATTATGAGTTTAGGCTCTAAAGTTTAAACGAGCTTGCATCAACTGTGACTACCGTTCCTAAGAATCTGATAAAAGCGTGGACAGATCTCTCCTTTGATTCAGATTCAACATAGCAAGGTGATCTGGTTTTCTGTTCACATAATGTTTAAACTTCAAATAATTGAGACCTCTCGCAGGGCTGGGAGGCAGGTCCAATGTCAGGGCTTAACCTATGCAATATTCCAAGAAGATGAAGGTATTTTTTGTGTCTCCAATGGACTGGTTCAGCACCACTTTGGCCGGTCTAGCCTGGCCCATGTTGAAGTCCTTTGTCTAAAATCTAAATTCTAAAGTAAATTGAGAATACCAAGTGAATGTGGCCGTGTTGGGATGGGTTTACTGTATGGTCTTTCAGTTCCTCTTCTCAACCAATTTCGGCCATGTTTGGACTTCTTTCCAAAAATCAGAATTAATGGTAGTATTAAACGGCATTAGAACTTTTTAGACAACAGAAACGTTGTCTAAAACTTGAGTTGAAAACAGTTTCAGGTTGGCCCAACCCAAGATGCACCCTCAATAAGAAGCCAGCAAAATCCAACCTAAAGCTGAACTTGGTTTGGCCCTAGTTACAGAGATCGACAGAATTACACGGTTATTTGGGCTAAGTTTGAGTGATATTTCAGAAATGTCTCTGAAACTAGTACCAATCACCAAACTTGGTACCGCTGCTAGGAGTCAGAGTCTGTGTTCTAAAAGCATTGGAATTTGGAGCAGGTTTTAGAGGGTAGAGTCCATCAGCATGCGTCAGGTCACTGTGGTGGAATCGGCAGGCAAGCTTGACGAGTTGATAACTTGATATGCTGTCCTAACAAAGGAATCCACGGCCTTGAGGTGGAGTCCACGACTCTGACAATCTAAGCAGAAATATTTCATCCTCCAAATGCTGATTCTAAACCCGCTTCCTTTGAAATTTTCATGCCCAAAACTTTGCCGACATAACAACTGACCTATTTGTTTGTTGGGTTGGGAAAAGAAATATTCCTACTATTTCTCAATTACCTAAGCCTGATATCAATTCATAAACTATTGTTCCATTAGTCTGAACTCTGAAGATTGTATTAACTATATGACAAAATAATGAAAATGAAGACTCAATCTTAGAAAGCTACCAAATGAACTGCAAAACCTCTAGCATCATATTACATCTCCATCTTTTTGTCTCTGTTTACTAGAAAAGTGTCCATAGTAGAATGGTTATGTTAATGAGTGATTATTGTTCCAATAATACCCTAGCCTCTTAATTTGGTTTTAATTGCTTGGGGGAAAAAATGCCTTGTCACCACTTGTCTGATTGAGCAGAATTTGATAATCTGTATGTGACAAAAAGAAATTTTTGGGTTACAAGGTACAAATCCTATTGGTAATGCTATGCTCACAAAAAAAAAAAAAAAGTTGTTATGGAGCTTTTGAGAAGGTTCTAAAACAAGTATTTGATTGGACTGAAAAAAAAAAAAACAAAAATGTATGTGAAATTTGACCATATATCCTCCATAAATGGGTAATAACGGTATTTTATCTCTTGATTGTTTTTTGAATTAGGGAAGTATAGGGAAACCTCATTCACTTATCAGAGAATTAGCTCTTCTACTAGTGCTGCAATCTTTTTTTTCTCTGCAATGCTGCAATCTTTAATTGAGAAAAGTGACATTTTTCAAAGTTTCATCTGTAGACATAGGCACAACATGTCATTTAAATCCTCTATTTTCTTCTCTATTGTTGCATTCTTGTTTTATTTTATCTTGATTTCTATAACAAACAGAGGTGTTTGTAGCTTAAATCATGAGCATTGGAATCAAAAGTATATCTGTATGGTGCCGTTTGGATTGAATAGTGCAATTATGAAATCTATACAAAATCTGCACCTGGTTTAGCTTTGCATCCATTTGTTTTTTACTATGTTTTACACTTATACCTGCTGGAAGTTTGCATTTTTTATCTCATTTGCACTTGGTGGCAATGCAAACTTTTAGCCTAAAAAGTGGGGGCAAATATCCATAAAAATGAAAAGTTAGTTTAGTTTTACAGTGATAAATTTACTTTCTTGCCAAACGAGTTTTAATAGAAATGGATGCAAATACAAATCCCAAGGCATAAATATGCCTTTTTAACATGGTAAATGTACATCGATTTTGATATAAAATTTTTAACATTTGATCAATTTTGAGTGCAAATGTACATTGATTTTTTTTTATATAAAATTCCCTCTTATTTTGGGTGCAAATATGCCTCGAAAACTGTGTTTTCTGTTATTGTAAATGCACAAATGTATTCTTGCCAAACACTAGAAAAACTGAACCAGAGTGCATATATGCACTGAACCGGCATTTGCACTCTTCCCAAACAGAGCCTAAATAAATAACCTTCCTCCTGCCTTTATTCTCTTTTAAATGAAGTAGGGACCACATCATTTTACTTCTCACAAACAAATAAAATAAAGTCAAACCTGAAACAAAACTAAACCACAACTTGCACCATTTGCAATCCCATGCATTTACACTTGTGCAGAACATTGAGATAACATTTGCTTGTGCCACAATGTTCTTACGAATTCTCTTATTGGATGTTCACCCAAAAAAATTCAAAAAAAAAAAAAAGAAACAATATAGCACTTATTGGATTAAGAATACTGGTATGATATTTCATTCAAAACCAACCGTACCTCCTGCACACAAAAGGGATACATCCTCCAAAGTTTCTGCAAAGAATATCATCAATCTGCAATTTACACTAACAAATGAACACAAGCAACCTCCTAAAAGAAGGGAAAAAGAAAAGCAAACAGAAAGACTGTCAAAAATTAAATTTACTCTTCAAATGTTCATCTAGGAACACCAGATATTAAGATATTCACAACTCCATCTCCATTGAACTGGTGACAGATTCTGTTCACTCAAGTCTTTAGGATATCTATAAGATCCATTTTTTAAGAAAACATAGTATCTTCAGCTTGGAGCTTTTGGATTGCACTGTTAGGTTTAGTAAACAACCCAGCAATCAACTGGCAGACGTGGTTGTTGGAAGTCAGCCAAAAGCTTTGTGTTGGTCCCAGTTTTGCAATGAAAATATGGAATCAAGGCTGAGATCTTTAGATGTCTGGTATGATTTTATTGGAGCTGAAATGCCTCTAATTCGTGGGGATCTCTGTTGACAACCACTCGGCTTGCAAATTCTATTGATGAAAGTTGCATCACTACCGTTTGTAGAACAAAAGGAATGCCTACTCTTAGATGGAGAACCATGATCAGAATAAGCATCAGCAGCTCCCAGCCTCTGCCTTGGTGTGCTAATCGATCGCACCTTTGCTTTTGCAGATTCGGTTGCAGCCATGTAACTTGGAAGAGCAGAAAAACCAGAGAAAAGATCATTGTCCATGTTGTAGCTCCGATTTGATTGATGAAATGATCTTCTTGGAAGCGACAATGGGGAATTCATTCCTAGCAAGTCTTCATGTTTTTGAATTTCTCTTGGTCTAAGATGTGCCACTCCTACATCTCTGTCTATGGCATTTAAATAGGCAATTCGGTCAAAATTCTCTAGTTGTTCCTGCTTCCATGCTTGGGTATCCACCCAATGATCTAACCAGTTGCTGAGCATCCCATCTACATTATTTGGTTCAGATTCTCTTCGCCTCCTCTCCTGAATAATATTAATTCAATCTCAAAACATCAACATAGGACTAAATAATTTAAAGGAATTCAAATGAAGCAGGCTTACCTGATGGCTGTATGAGTATCTTTTTATGCGTTCTCTCTTGATCATGGCGTCTTGCTTGGTTAGGAACATGGAATTTGTTTCTTCCTTTGTGAGCAAACTGTCATCCCACCTTCTCTGACTTTCCAATCTGAGTTTCCCCAACTACAAATTGAGCAACAAAAAATAAAATAAAATAAAGAAGACATGGATGGTCTAACTTGTAACATAACTTTGACATTGCATCTTTTAATGCCCCAATGAATGAGGCAAAACAACGTTCATTGTCATCTCTTTGAATTGCATACAGATTAATACTTCACTTACCCTTGTTCCCATGTCTTCCAATTCCTTGTTTGGATCTATCAACTCTTTTTGCTCTTCACCCGTCCAATTATCCTCCACTATTCCAAGTCTCTTTGCACGGACCTGAGATTGGATCTTTACAAGGGACTGCAAACTCTTCAGTGTAGTCATAGCTTGGCGTCTCACAGCTCGACCTCGAACAATAGCCTGAAGCTTCACAAGTGCCTTGAGCGCCCTCAGTGCTTTCCTTGCCTGTAATACTTGTGGATATGAATTCATAGACAGAACGTAATAGGTGGAGATGGAAAAACCAAATTAACTTAGATATTACTTTTGTCTTTGTAGTTCCAAAATGTACAGATGCATAAATAGTACAGAAATCTTATCAGTTAATGGCAATTAGTAGGATAGAGACTGACAATTCATAGGGACAAAACCATAAACAAGACAAAGAGGATGCTTTAACTCTGGTCTAGAGTCCCAAGAAGCTTACAAGATAACCACGGAAAGCAGTTTGAATTTTAATGGCAGCCCATTCTCGGCTTCTCCCTTCGCATAGAGCATATGATTTAGATGTCCCCCTGAGACGGACAACCTCAGCAGCAGCCTGAGCCGCAGCTACGGCAGCCTCAGCAGCAACCGCTGTTGCAATTGCAACAGTCATAGCATGTTTGTTCTGCTCATCTTCTACCTCGCTCAGTGTCCTCTCCTTTGTTGGAGATGCAGCTGCAAGTACATGAAGGCGCTTGACCTTGAACCGTCCAAACATCCATCTCCACCTCTTCTCCTTCTGCAGATGGTTATAAATATTAACATATAGAGATGCTCAAAAGAGCACAGCAGCACAATCAATGAAATTCACCACATATGTACCTTATCTAGTTTTTCCTTTGCCTCTGAAATAAAAAGCCTTCTCACCAGATTAAACCAGCTCTTCTTCTTTGCCATTGGAGAACCATCACATCACATCATACGAGGCAAGGAGAATATGAAGGATGAACAGACATCACTGATCTGACCAATTCAAACAAAAGGAGTATATTGTAATGGTGTCTACCAAATTTGTCTGCAATTATCAAGCAGACCTCAGTTTTATACAAAAGAATTCAGAACCAAACGATTCATTCACATAAATTAAACCATACCCAAATTTACAGTCTCATTCAAGTCAACAGAAAATCTAATTTCTACCAAAAGGAGAGAATCAGATCCAGAAAAAAAAAATAAATATAAAAAGGTAAAAAGAAAGAAAAATCCATTTGATGATTTGCATAAAGAACTCAGCTTTGTTTATGCTAAGACTATAACATCATCTTCTAAAATCCACAGTTCCTTTCTTTCTCCTCATAATCTCTCAAACCCATTTGCTAAAGCAGAGAAATCCTGTGAGGATTACGAAGAACTTCTAAAATCTTAAACTCTGTAGCCGTTGTCTGTGAATAAAACCTGAGGAGCTCTCTTACCCATTTCGAATAAGCATTGAAATTCGATAAATTAATCCAGAATCACAACATCAAGCAGCTTGGTTCCTAGAATTCACAGATATTGAAACATAAATACCAGTAACAAAAATCCCGAATTCATAGGAATCCAATAGGTGTACCTGGAAAAAACTGCGCAGAAATGGGTTAACAGAACCAACTTTCCGGAAAACTCTAATTTTCAATTCAGAATTCTTCTCTTTCTGATCTGGAAAAACACCCGGTACCTGTTGAAGCAATCATCAGTGGATAATAATCAAAGTGGGTTTCCTATTCTTTTGTTGAATTTATTTAGTTTTTTCATCTTCTTTTTCAGGATGAACTGAGCTACCTAAAACGTGGGCCTGCAGGCAAGAACTGTCAAGAAAAAGCCAGACCCATTTCTCTTCAATGATGGAGGGAGTGGTGCAGCTACTTTCTCATCTCATGGCTCTGTTACAGGGTCCTTTTAACTTGCTGGCTCTCTTTCTCTCTTACTATACCCCAACTCTCGCTTTCCCTTCTCTTTAAGTCCTAACTGTAACTGACATGTTCAAGTGTCTCTGAAAGTCTGAATTCTGACACCAAAATGACTGTAATGCCCCCTTCACCTCTGAGGAAATCTTGCATGTGAAAGTGACCCATCGTGGAAAATGGTGCCTCTCCATGTTACATGTCAATTTTTTGTTGACGTTGGAGCTTGATTCAGCCACATCAACGCAATCTCATGCCTACAGCCACAGGCCCCATCTATTCAGAATTTTAGATCACTGTCATCAATAGCTTTTTGCATTTAGATCTCTCTCTCTCTACCAAACCAAACGGGGTATGAAATTTTTATCCTACCTGGTTTTAGAGTTCAGAAACAGCACCTAATGTCTTCGAGAAATCCAGCAGCCGTAGGAACAAAGCATCCTGGAGTCCCGAAAGCAGAACAAGAGAAAAAGAATTATTCAATAGTTAAATATTATGTATGAAATTATTTTAGGAGTCAGGTCAATTGGTGGGTCTCCTTTTGATAAAGAAAACTGAAAGAGGTTTCCACGTGGCAAATTGGTTTGATTCAAAACGGGTTGGGTGCTGGTTTTACCGGCTGTACCCGGGTATCCACTATTCTAAAACAATAATTCTAAAATATAAATTTTATTGAATATGTATTGGGTTAGAAATAAATAGCAAAATAAGATATATATATATATATATGCATTTTTACCTCCTATAAATTTCAAGACTCATATATATACTTGAATATTCATTGGTAACCAGGTCCGGCGGTGGACCCATTTGCTATTACGCCTCAAACGTATGGAGCCAAGATGGATCCGCTTGTCAAAACCAATCCAAGATTTGTAGAATGTAGAAGGTATGTTGGATAGGCGGGTAATCGGGTAGCCCGACACCTTTGCCACATGGTAGAGCCTCAGAGGTCAGAACAGATTTTCAGTAGTGAATTTGTTTGTGGAAGACATCAATTAAAGTGGAGCTACAGGCTGATTTGGACTGAAGATCTGTATAAAGTGGACCGTTCATCGTCCAGAGGCTCGCCTAATTAGGGTCTTTTTTAGTATATTTATAGGTAGGGCTGTAAGTGGTATTTTGTTTGTTCAAATTCAAGTAAGAGTTCCATTACGTTAAGGGCGATCTGAATTCATTAGCTTTATAACTGGGTCTAATATGGATTCACTTCTATCCGATTCAAATCTCATAGTTGTTTTTGGTTCATTTTATTCATGACCCACCAGCAATTACATTGCCAAAATTCAACTGTAAACGGAGTTGCATCACTCTGTTTTCCACTTTTAAAGCTCCTGGAAAGCTTAGGAAATAGCACAATTTAATTAATAAATTAGAAGTCAATCAGATCATTCAGATTTTTGGTGTGGACATTCTCTTTGCTGGGCCTCCAGTGGTGGTCCTGATGCCCAGAGCCCTGAGCCCTGTAATATTTTACGCATCACAAACCAAAGTATCAAACATTCCTTTATTTTTCCCTTCTTTCCTGCCTTGATTAATCAGATGGAAGCATGGACCCTTTAATTATCACATGAAGCAGACTGAGACTGTCTTTTTAAAGAGGAGGGTGTTCTTGAATCATGTATCATTTAAGTGGGTCCAGGAAGGAGATTATCAAATCACACAAGCCAAGAGATTGGAATCATATATCCTCATAGGTATTTAATTTATTTTCATTTGAACACCGAAGAGTACTAAAAATGTAGAACAAGGTGAAGATGAAAGCTTCCATCAAGTCAAGAGCTGTCAATTTTTCAAGCTACGTGAGCCTCTTCTAGGTCCAGACTCTGTACATTTTCCCTTTGTTGCTCTTTTTACTATACAGTAGTTGACATTTTTCTTGTCTAGAAAGGAGGGAGCTACGGATGGATTAGGGCTCAGCTATCAGGCCACGACGAGCAGTAGCCCTTCTGGCTACCACATTGGGCACCCTCATTGGCTGATAAGGAATAAACTTTAAAACTCCACATGGACTGCTGCAATGGCAGATGTGCTTGTATGTGGAACTTTAGCAAGGGAAAGTACATCTGCAGAACAGGACCCACTACTATTGGAGAGTCTCCTTGTGACAACAATCAGCGAACTCTCTTTTGGCTTTGCTCTCTAGGTAAGTCTTATCCCCTTTATCTCGGACAGAATGAGAAAGGAACCCCAGTTTCAGATATAGCTTAGGCTCGGTTAACTAAACCAGCTTCAGTCAATGCTCAATCTTTGTTTATGAGATGCAAATTCAAGAACAATACTATTGGGATCTTAAAAATTAAATCAAATCGAAAAATTATGCTAACAGAGGTTCATCATAATCTAACTGTAGCCATTTTATCACAATGAAGTAAGAATCACCAAATTCCATCTTTATACCAGAAGAAATTGATCCATTACATTTTTTTTAGTAAAAGGCGAAAGAATAATTCTCTCTATGATCACTATGTAGCTGCCTTAATTTGAATCACAACCCACATGAGGACAAAATATAGATTTCCCTGCTTTATCATCACTTAATTCAGCACATTTATTAAATTAACCATGTTTAACATAAAAAAATACCAAATTGAAGAAATTAATAATTGTTCAATATGACAGTTAAGTAGTTAGCAACGATCATTTTGCTGGTGGCTACACATATTTAATCCTTCTAAGATTTGCTGTCAATTGGACGGGTTGGGTTTGGGCAGATCCAATCCTGAACTGATAAATACATATGCATAACCAGTCTCAAATCATATTAATAGGCTCAGAACCAACTAAAGCATCCTTTTTACTCAAATAAATAAGGCATTAGGACTCAACTATATTTGATAACTCTACTTTTAACCTGTATATAATTGGCTCGGGGCTTTACTGGTTCCAAACTCATTATAATTGGGACGGGTGATTCAGAGCCAGATCCTATTAGGGTTGGTTTGGTTTGGTTTGGCTCTCTTGGGTAGCCTACTTTTTTTTTTTTTTGGCTACTTTCCTTTTATGTCTTCTTCCCTTTGAAGATAGGGTATGGAACTGCCAATAGAACAACGTTGGAAGTAAAATGCTGTATGAAGTTAAGGCAGAGAGTGCAGTCCAATGCTACAAATTCCTGTCAATAAGGGGTCTGGGGAGGGACAGATGTATGAAGCCTTGCCCCTCTACAGACAGAGAGGTTGCTTCCAAAGGCAAAGAGAAATTGACAATAAAAGCAACACAAAACAAATTAAGTGATCAATGAGGAAAGAAAGAAATGCCTTATATGAAGTAATTCTTAAAAGTAATTTGATGAGTTGAATTTTGCTAAACCCGAATCTAAAATTAACCCAGTTAGGATTTAGGAACATACCGAGTGAATACAACTTAAGGTCGCATTTGATTCAATAGAAAATAGAAGAAAAACAGAAAGTTGAAGGTCTTAAAACGGTTTGAAACAAGTTTTCTTATAATACCCTAAATGGTTTGGTATGATATTCACAGATGGGACCTTAATGAGTTTGTCTGAAGTCTCTTAATGTGCATGACATGTGAACACTACTATAACCAAAAGATAGTGGGGCAGAAAATACTGTATAGAAAAAAATGACGTTGGTGCAAATTTAATTCATAAAACCAGTATAAGAAAACAAAATCACAGTATTCTTTTGGAATTAAATGTAGTGGCTATATTGTTTTCTTCACTCAAGGTTCTTCATGGTGCATACTTTTAAAAATAAAAAGAAAAAGACAAAAAATCAACTATTTCAATGTATAATTGACAATTATACTATGTGTACGTTTGGTTTGAAAGAAAAGATAGGAAAAGGTAGGAAAACCTATACATTCAATGTGTTTAGTTGACAATTAGCATGTATGTTTGGTTTGAAAGAGAAGCTAGGGAAAGGATCTATGATGAAAACACAGCCTTAAAGGATCTATGAAGAAAGCTCCAGCTTGAATCATCTAACTCTTTATTCACCGGCATAAACAAGCTCAATCGCCTAGACCTTGGTGCTGAAGCAACTGAAATTTCAGAAAAGAGAAATACCCTATTTCCTTCTTGTCTGTGGATTGGGAGACCTCTTAATTCATGCCCCCCCCCCCCCCCATCAAAGACTTTGAATTCATTCTCTTCCTCTTTGTGTATGTGTTTTATTTATAGTTAATTGGTAAATAACCTCTTCTTAATCAAATGGGTAGTAAACTAGTAATTAAAGGAAATGGACTGAAAAGTTGATTCTTATCTCAAAAATTAAATGAACTAGAGCTTTCATATACTATAGTGAAGTATATATCCATGGTTTATACTATAATTTCCCAACTCCCTAGCTGACTCTATGAATCCCTTATATTGGCTCCATCCAAGCATAGGGAACTGAGTCATAGTAATGTCTCCAACTGCATATGACCTCTGAGTGAAGTGATAGATTCCTTGGGGCAGGGCCAAGGAGCTAAGAGGACATGGTCCCCCACAAAGTTTTGAAAACACCCTTTATATACATTGGGAGCTGGCGGAAGGTGGACCCATGCAAATGGAGTGCCCCCTTCCCTAATCCTGACTCTGCCTTTGTAAAACTCTAATTACTTCTTTGACTCCTAGTCCAGTGACAATCACTTGATTCCTGGTCAAGTCATTTTTCATTGATTCCTTACCCAGGACCAATATCACTATTTTGATGTCCATTTTACAACAGGAATGTTTTTGTTTTTTTTTTTTACTTGTGTTAAAATCCATTACATCAGCAGAAAAATTAAAACAGATTCTTCAACCATTTTGTTTCCAGAAAAAATCAATCAATATTTTTGAAATTATCCATGCACCAAAATAATAGTTTCTAAAACAAAAACAAAATTTTGGAGTAGAGAGATTACATGGTCTGTGATATAAGACATCAATCACCTGATAAAAACATTTTCTTTAAATCAGAAATTCAAGAACACAGTTTTGGGTCAATTTTGAAAATAAAAACCACATATGCAACCAAGAACATGTTTTGTATTTTTTGTTATAGGAACCAATTTGTTTTTGGAATTCATAAGGGAAAAAATAATTCACCTTGAAAAACTTGACAATAGGTTTATTCAGCTTGCACACATTTTTATATGATTTTCAAATAAATTAGCCCACTTCTGTTTAACTTATCCTGACTATTCAAAATCTCCAAAGATCCCTCCTCGTCAGAGATCTACTGTTAGGAGGAATGGTCTTTTATAAATTTATTATACCACCCCTCCATTGAATTTTCTATAAATGAAAGTTGAATTATGCAATGATGAAATTTATTATATTGCCCCTCTATTTGAGATTTGGTGGTTCATCTGTTCATGCTGTACCTTTGGGTTGGAGGAGGATAAAAGAAGAGATATGTTTTATTTTTTTTTACCTGCTTTCTTTTTTAAACAATTATTTAAGAGAGAATCAGAGTTAGTTTGGTCATTCAAAAATAATTAATAGACTAGCCGGATAGTTTTGTTAATGATCACTTATGGTGACCTAATGGAAGGTAAGTTTCTGATAACAAAAATTGTCTGACAGTGGGGTTTCTAGAGAGTTTAATTTGAAAAGTCAGGATAAATTTAAGAGAATTTAAAAGAAATGAGGAAAAGTTAAGGAGAGTATTAGATGTACAATAACCCAGTAAGAAAGGTTTCAGCATTAGGTCCTATTTTTTCCCAATAGATTTATGTTGTATGAGTTGGGATTCTTTTCTTTCACTTTCTTTTCAATGGTCCATCTACTTTTTTTGTTCTTCAACTTAAAGAACTTGTTTTGGTTGTTATTTGTTTTGGGGATGTATTTGTGCAAATTTTCCTGTACAATGATTTTGGAGTGACATTAGGTAATTTCACCATTTATATTGTGCTTTTTTTACAGTAAAAAGGCTTGCAAGCAAAAACTCTGAAAGCAAGGGGTCCCGGAATAATATTGATACTGTTTTTTATACTTTTTTTTTTTTTTGAAACAGGTTCAGGAGGGCCTGTTTAAGGCTCCTCCACCCCCTGAACCAGTCAGAACCCCGATACATCCATTATAGGGGCAGATTGGGGAGGAGGTCTTGGAATGATACGTGTCAATACTTTGAACCTTGAATAATACATTAGAACTTCTCATTATGAATTTATCGTATATGTACGGGAGATATTTCCTACGTGAAGCTGGCATTGCCGTGTGTGTAAAGATTTTGTTTAACAGAAGATCTGGGCTCCTTTAGTAATACTACACATAATACATGCTTAACACGTGCAATGTGAGAACAGAGATGGAACTCTTAATAGGGGGAGAGGTGAGAAAATGGAGGCACAAGGAGAGGAAAAGGATAAATACTTGATATTAAATGAGAAGGGCAAGTTTGAGAATGGATTTTCCTGGGGAGGGGGAACTAGAGAATTCTGGCCCAATATGAAGAATACAAAAGTGTAGAGGATTCAAACAACTGAGCATGTCCCCCATAACCCTTCACATTTCTCTTGTTGAATCCATCTAAACCACCAAATTAAGAATGAATTCTCTTGTGAGAATTTCCCTATGCCAAACGCCAACAATTGCCTTGTTATAATCATTTACTAGTCAGATCAAGGAGGTGATTAACTTCCTTATACCAACTAACTTATTTCTACAACATGCAGAGATTGAGGGGTTATGGATTTTGGGGATGGACTGCCCAATGTTGTATCCCCACGAAAATAAAAAATATGTATAGTCTACCAGATAGCTACTAGGTAACCTACTGCTTGATCCTTGATCCTACAATTTTTAGGGAAGGGATAATGCACTTAGCTTAACAATTTTTTTAAGTTTCAAGAATTGAATTAGGACATAATAAGGTATAGAGTTGATATAGATGATTAATCCAAAAGGTTATTGTTTAGTGAGGTGAGCAGTCTTGAAATTATTATCTTTTACGTTAACTCCCCACGATCATGGCTATGTATTGTTTGGATCTTGGTACCTGAACAGTAGTATGGAATGGGGACAAAGCAAGGTGCACGTGAGGTCCCCTCATGGAGTGCCTGCAATTCCCAAGGTTTGATCCCACGTCTCTGCCATGGAAATGATGCCAAGTGACCCTCCTCTTGGTTTCTGGGTCTTTTCTTTAGACATTTTTTGTATTAATTCATTTCTCATGCTTCAACCACGCGGTTACATATATTCTGTATCAAGCATCAAAACATTCTTCTTTTTCTCCACAGGATGTTCTTTTTTTTCTTTTTTGCTTTATTTATTTATTTATTTGATGGGGTGGGGTTGAACTGTTGAAGGGGAGATGGATGGGTTTGAGGGCGCAGAAGAAGAAGGCCAAAAGAAATCTCTCATCATGCATCTGTTTTTCAACAAGTAAATGAACCATGATGCATAGTTGGGCTGTGAAAGCTGCAATTATTAGGTTATCTATGATTTGTGGACAGACATGACAATCCAGAGCATACAATAAGATGAAACACATCTCTTTAATTTTCTTTTTATTAAAGAAAGAAAAGAAGGAAGGAAAAAATAAAAAAAGACAGACAAAATGAATGACTTATCTCTTCTCACATGGCCAATTGATGCTGGATTTGATCTTACAACACTGAAGGAAAGTGATGTGGAGAAGCTTGTAGGACCTGCATCTTATCTGCACAAATTTCCAAGAACAAACCCAAACCCCTCTTTTACCTTGAACAGTATCTCATCTTACTGTAAAGAAGGAGAGAGAGGTTTTGGTGATTGTGTGAGACATGAGACATGAGACATGAGGGGCTTGTCATGACAAGTCTGGGCTTGGGCCCTTTCAACAGCTGTCATTCCCTTGCTAACAACTCATACACACGCATTATTCTCTTCTGCTTTTCTGCAAAAATCTCTGAGACCTCTTCCCCACGTCAAATACTCTCTGTAACAACGACAACATGTTCCCACCGCATGTCTGCAGCCTGCCTAACCCTATACCCTTTCGATATCATTTAATATGTTTTCATGCCCATTACCAAAATCTATTTCTAACATTCACAACTCCTCTAATTTGGACTATTTTCAATCTCCTCATTCAAATTGTTGTATTACCAATTCAATACTCATTTCATCTTTCACATGTAATATTTAACCACGAATAAAAGAAGCCTTAACATATTAAAACCCATCAGTTACAATAGTACTCAGCTTCTGTTAGAAAACAGTAGAACAACATAAAAGGTTAAAAAACAAAGCTCTCTCTCTCTCTCTCTCTTCAGAAACCCATATTAATGCTACCATCAATATCTTTTGCAAGCTATATAAAATTTAATCGATATTTTCCAATCAATACATCCCTCTTTACCGATAGAGTTAAATCAGATGCCTGAAATTTTTCAACACTTGTGTTACAGCTTTTTTTCTTTTTTTTTACCCCTTTCTTTTTGTAGTTGGGGGATCTTAGAAATATTACTCTAATAGACATGATTTTTGAAGAGTAGCACTTCTCAAATGTTGTGTTGTCAAGTTGAAATAATACTGTTAAGAACTTTTCAGGCTCTTTATCCTTGTAAAGGTGTAGTCTTAGTGTGAAAGAAAAAAACATGGGTAAGTTCTAACTAAGTTTGAGCAGTATCCAGTAATCCATTGGCCGGTTTATGGTTCTGGGAAAGGAAACATATCCTTGTCATTGTTCTTCATTGGCAAAATGCCATGACAATAAAGGCTACCGCTTCAAGGAACTAATTATAAACCATGATAACTTCACTTAGAAATACTAAAAGTTGGTCGTCTATACATGCATATTCCATGTTAAAAATAGAGAGTTGGTGGCCAAGAAGCAATTATTCAGCTGGAGAAAGCCTTCACAACTCCATGAAGACAGGAAAGCATACTTCCTCTTAATCGATCATCATATTACGTTTCAGTTACTAATTCATTAACCCAAGTGCAAGTCAGTCGGCTCCTTAAATGAGAGTTGCATGAACACGAGTTCTTCTGAATACCACAACGATGGATGTATAATCAGTATCAAGGTTTTTAAAACCAACTCAGAGACCAAATCCGTCAGGAATCTGGTTCTCGGGTTGAATGGTCAATCTGTTCTGGCAAAAAAATAAAAAAAAATCAAATAAAAATTAAAAAATAAAAATGGATCAACCACCTGAGTCAGTGGTTTATTGATCAAATCAACATTTTTTGCAAATATCCGATTTTTCTAGTCCAATCATCCGACCCAGTCCGATATTAAAAACCATGATCAAGGTGGAGCTAACCAAAAAGCCCAAATTTTATTTATATTCTGGGGGTGGGGGAACAAACATGGATGGGGCCAACCATCCATAATATAAGTGGGGTTTCTACGTCATATGGGGGACCAAGGCTCCCCCGGTCCCCTCTGGCTCCGCCCCTGAATGTTCTAGGCCTGAGTAGTGCTTACTTTTTTCAGGCAGCTGGCGTTCGCCTTGATTACACATCTAGCAATAAAATTCTCTTGAGTGTTCAATGCTTCTGACAGGGGATTAAGGGGTGGGGATAGAGAAGGATGCACAGAAGGTCCGTTGACCTTCTCATAGAGAACCTGCAGTCACGTGACTTTGATCCCGCACCTCAACACTTAGAAGGATGCCAAAGGACAATCTCAAGTTCTCAACTACTAGACCTTCAATAAAATACTCGACTTGAGTAACCACTGAGAAAAGCAATCTTACTACTACTTTGCCGGTATATGTGTTTGAGCCAGGTCTTCACCTATAAATATATCTGTTTATTTATTTGTTTGTTTATACTTCATAGGCAAATGGGCTACAGAATGAGACTATAAGAAGTAGCCTTCTCCCAAACCCCTAACCCATGTGAAGACGAGAAACAATCCCAAGCTATTCGGATCAATTTGAGTTTTTTTCTTGCAATGGCCTCAATCCAAGCCTGAGAGAAGCTGAGCTTATGGACTATATTGTTGCCTCCTGATCTCTTAGTCTACATACAAATATGCAAGCCAAGATGACAGCATTTGTACTTGCATTCTTCCCAAACAGAGCCTTAATAATCAAGTTCTATAGGTTCTGATGAATTAGTTACATGCTTGGTCATTTACTTGTAGTTATTTTTCTTATTTTCTTACACTCTATGTGTAAACAGCCAGGAGCTTTCACCAAGTATTCCTACGTGTTAAAAATATACGAGGGGCAATAAGCAACCCATTTGACCCAGCCCAAGGATGGCAAAGGTAGGATTTCCTAAACAGAAGCCCGTTGATCCTTAAAAAACGTCCATAGATGACTAACATATTTACATATAGACAGCTGCACCCTTCAGCTTATGTTAATTACAGATTGTATGCAGATTTGAACAATAAGAAATTGTTTTCTTTCTTGGATATACGGGACAAGGACAAAACAGATCAAGAACTCAGGATCACTTCACTGTGCTTGGTACCATCCTCCATCCTTATCCATGACTTGATTGAGAAGGGCTTTTGAGTTAGCTCTATAATTCTTGCTCCCCTTGGCCAGTTTCCATAACCACCATAACCAGTGTGTCGAGCAAAGCACAACCAAAGCTTCTCATAGGGGCAGCACCAATCCAATCCATGATTATGACCAACAAAGACTGCCTACACGGATGCAAAAACATGACATATACAGTAAACTTTAAGCAAATAATCTGCGTCTTTTTTCTACAGTTGTATCTATAATCAGTTTATGCATGAACCACTGAATGCATGAGGGAAGCATGATAAATATTTTGCTCTATGCATGCAAGACAATTAACTCAGTTTGCATCTTTATGACTATAGATCAGCTTGGTCTCCTGGGCATTCATTTGGGCTCATCAAGTTTCATCAGCCCAGAACTCTTTTTGCTAGGTTCAATTCATTATTAGCCCAATTGAACGCCAAAAAAAATAGGATTATAATTCTTCAAAACCCACTTCAACCAAACTCTTTCTACCTTAGTAACAAATATCTGTTTTGTAAAATCAATTCGACTTATGGCTTAGACAGCACCTATCTCGTTACCTTGACTGATGACCTATTTACAAGGGATTCCATCACCCCCATTTCAACTTCTTGAGCAGCAACTCTCTCCTTGTTAATTGAACCAACACAGGGCTTGTGTATTAGAAACTTTGGAGCAACTTTCTTGTAAGCTTTACTTGGTATATGCCAAAAAACCATCTCAGGAACCCTAAAATATAAGTAAGTATCAGACTTCCCTAGCTTCTAACAGTTTATTGCATTGAAATCTAAAAGAGAGAAGGAATTATTTTTCCATTTTATTTTACCTCAGGTCAGGGTTGATCTCCTGTGATTTTTGCTGAAACCATCTTGCTTGGGCGCTTGATATCACTTCTGGATAGGACCCACCACCAGAATCTAGAAAGTATAGAAATGCAACTGGTAATTCCTGATCACCTGATGAAGAGACTTTGAGTACATAATTGGAAACACTGGGCCAAAGTTCTTTCGGTCCATCACTAGAATAAGACAACATATTGCATTCTATCTCATTCCTCATCAATTCCAAACGTTGTGTCCCTTTGAAGCTGCACTCTTCTGTTTCTGTGAAACGTTAGACACAAGCCCATGTTAAAAACTCCTTTTGCATATAGCAGGTGTTTCACCCAACTTGCTGCCAAGATCTGACAGGCACACAGGGTCACAATGACATACTTGGTCACTAGTGTGGAAAAATTCAAAATCATATTGATCAGATTAGAACCCGTTGATCAAATTAAGTAGTTGGAGGTGAACCAAAATTAAGGTAATTAATAGGATGGTAAGTTGATGATCCAATCCTTCCAATCAATTAGTGTTTTTTAGATGGTTAACAACTTTAACTAGGATCAATTCCCCTATTCCCCTTGGAGTTCTCATGGGGACTCTGTTGTACCTACTAAACATTCCAATCAAATTGAACTTGCTCGCAAAGAAAATGGAAAAGGAAGAAGTTATCAAAAGGCAATGACTTAGTATATGTTTGACATGGGTTCTGTTAGTTAAATAAACGTTTGTAGTTGATCTGTCTTCAAAACCGAAATAAAAAAAAAAGTGATTGGTAAACGTTTTTTCGGGATTTGTTGACAACTAGACACCACTAGGTGTCATTAGGCTTCACATCAGCAGAAGAGTAAATAAACACTTAACAGACATAAATCAAGACCAACTTTTATCAATACCTATGCGTACAAATTGGCATGATGGGATAAATGCTAATTTGGCGATAACATGACACCGTTTATCAAATAAACGCAAGCCATACCAAACACCACCTTAATTTTACTGAAGTAAATTCAAAATATCAAAATCAGGAGAAAAAGTTATGATGAGGACGGAAAATAAATTTTTTTCTTTGATTTTTGTTGCCTTTTATCTCCTAAAAAGGTAGAGAAAGCAGAGGAAGATAGCAAAGAGTGAGAGACGGCAAAAAAGGGAAGCTCATTTTCTTGAAGAAATTATTTTCTTTTCTTTTTTCATCCCGTTTACTTCAAACCCAAACACAGTATACAACAGTCAACAAGATCATCGTCAAAGATGTACAAAAATCTTATGGGCTAGAACCCATTCTAAATTCGTGAATTGAATAGGAAACTTGACTGTGAATTAGAAAAAGGCCCATGGAGGTCCATCTCCGGGCTGGGTTGAAAAATGTCTTCTCGATTACAAGATGGAGGCTAAACATTGGGTGTCCACGCTCGTCAGCCTGGACTGTCAAAATGGCATCCCCTGCGTGACACGTTAGTTTACCCTGCGATGTATCATGTATCCACCAAGACTGATAGCTGTGAACTAGCATATCGCCCGAGGTGAGCACCTTTGACAGCCAAGGCTGTCGAATTTAAGACAGCCAACTTTTTTCCCCGCAAGAGGCTAATCGCTACACCCTCTCAAGAACCATAATCGGTATTCAGGTTAATTCAGAGTACCAGAACGATCATGGAGACGACTCCCAAATTACCTATTGACGATTTTCTCTTGATCGAGTTTTCTTGCTTAAGAACTGGGTTGGATGTGGATATTTAACAAGTCAAACAGGTAAATTCCCAACTTCTCACCTGGAAATGGAGAATTCTCCGGTGAGCAGTGAACTTGAGGAATTCCACTGGCTGAAAACCAATCAATTGGCCACACAAATGCTGCGTCGTCATGGTTCCCAAATACAGTCGCCCATGGTACACCTCTAGCTCTTGTTGGAGAGATTGCCTGGTCCCAGTACAGGCTTGCATTCGCAATTGGTAGATTGTTCGCTGTAATGACATCCCCTAGATAAATCACGAAGTCTGCAAAACAATTTCATCCTACAATTAAAACTAATCAGCAGATCAGAAACCCCATTTCATATGCTTCTGAGCATTAATCCGTCGATAAAGAAATGGAGATGAATGAGTTCGTTTTGCTCCAAATCCAGAAACGAAACGAACTCATTCTATGTAGTTTCGTAATTGAGAAGAACTGCACCTGGAGTCTCCTCGTCAAGAATGGTCGACATAACCTTATTGGACTTGACATCCTGCAGAGGTCCCCAATCGGTCCAAGCATTCTCTCCGTAGTGCAAATCTGCGAACAACGCGATCTTGAACGAAGAACATGACGAAAATTGGAGTGATTTCTGGGGTCTCGTTCGGAGAAGGAAGGTTTCTTGGCCTTCACCGTGGTTCAGCCCACGGCCATCGACTCCGGCGACGAGGAGAGACACGCATATGAAGGCGCAGACGGCAAAACAGCACGAAGAGCTTCCCATCGTACAGTTTGTCACCGGCATCACCGGAATATGTTTAGAATTGTATGACCAAAATGACCTCGTCACTAGACATAATGACAATAGCATCCAAAGCATGGACGTGCACACAATATAACAAGCGATGGTTAGAGGAAGAGGGTAATCGAGTCATCGTAAGAAGCACCAAACAAGAAAACCAAGGCATATTCCATGCGAATAAAATCTGGTGCGGATTTCTTTCTTCTGTTTCATCTCCAGGAGCATAATTTGTTGTGAGTTGTGACTCTTACAAGCGAGTCTAGATTAGCTGCAATTGATATGGCTGTGTTAAGGGCTGTTTAATCAGTAATAAGGCCAAAGACGGTCTAGATAAACTGCAATTGATGGCGGCTGTGTTATTTTTTACTATAGTTACAATTTATTAAAATTAATTTTATTACACTAACAATTAAATTGTGTTATTTTTTAGAAAAATTATTAAAAATCAATGAATATATAAAATTTTCAATCAATAATTTCTTTATAAATGTCCTTTAAATTTAATTAAAAATTATAAAATTGAAAAATAAATTCAACAATTATATCTCCAGGAAAGAGTTGGTGGAGTTTGCAAATTGGCAAACAAAATATCATAATTTTGGAGAAGAAAATAAAAATATATATTAATGTAATTTTGGAAATTTTCTTTAAAATGTAGTGAATAATTATTGAAAGTTATTGGAATATTTTGGGAATTTGGGAATTTTTATTACATTTGATAGATTTTGGAAAATCATTTAAAAATTGTGTGGTTTTCATTTTAAATTATTAAAGATAAATTAGTATTGGTAAAGGAAAACATTAATTTGAACCAATAATTACACAAATTATTTCTGTTATTAAYATAAATTAGTATAATATYGGAAAATTTTAGAAAAGGAAATTATTAATTAACTTATATTGAAAAATAAAAGATAAATTAATGTAATTTTGTAAATAATATATTTAAAAAAGAAAATAAATTATTTAATATATTTAAAAAATCAATAATTTAGTATATATACTTTTAGAAATTTACCAGGAGCTGACATTCAATATATCATTTTGATTATTTTCACCAGCAAATTAGACATTGGGTTTTCCCGTGCATCGCATGGGTTCCCTACTGGTATTCACAAAAAGAAAATAAGGATCCATTTGGTTTGCACTCAGAATCAGAAACATGAATAGTTTATTCCCATAGTCCGTTTGGTTCAGATAATAATTGGAATAAACTGGAATAGGGATTTCATTCCCATGGGAGATGAGGGAATGAGCATTCCCTCAAATGGGGGAATGCTATTCCAACAGGAATGGGAATAGGATTTTCAATTCTGATTCCATCCAACCAAACAGTTTAGCCCATTCTGATTCCAAACTATTCCCGCACACCAAATAGGTCATTCTAATTCCAGACCCTTGTTCCTGTGAACCAAACAAGCCAAAGGGTATTTGCATGGGTTGAGACACTTACAAATTTTGATGAAAATAAAAGAAGAGAAAAAAAAAACGTTTCTCTTTGTAGATTTCACCTGTAATTCTTGCATGCTGTCACAACAACCAAAATCTTAATGATAAAAATAAGAAATTCACAATAATCAAAGATATCCATTTCAAAATGATCATTTAAAAGAAAAAGGGAATCTCTTCAAGGGACCCAAATATATAGGATTGGCTACATGAGTCTTGTTTCTTCATTCCATTTGATCTACCCCTAACCCTTCTAGCCCCTCCAAGTTGTAACAAATCACTTCCTTTTATGCGTGCTACTGATGGTCTTACACCACCAGTCCTGAGCACAAATAAAAGAGGAGAGTTGTCTCGAGATGGCAGCTGAAACTAGAACTTTTGCCAATTCTTATCTATAAAATAGCACATAATATATATTGTATTTGTATAAACTATTACATATGTTATATGTTATGTAATATCAAATATTATATATAGTAAATCTAATGTATTTAATGACTTAGGCCCAAATGGGTTTTTATATATTTTAGGTCTAGGCCAGGCTGGACCCAGAGTTGGGCTATAGCTCTTATGATAGGTACTAAGCTTGGCCCAGCCGGCCCATGATCAGTGTTCTCATGAAAACCAACACCAATGTAGTGTTGATACTTGATACAGCCAAACAAAATCTCTGCTTGGGAGTCGTGAGACAGAAAGGCATCCGACTAGAGATACGTGGGACAGAACACTCATGAGCGCTTAATTAGAATAAACACTTATTTTTCAAATAAATACTCCCAAACACCGCTTAAATATAACTAATTGATCATGAAAAATATTTTATTTCCTAAAGATCTAAGTTATTGCTTTCTTGTGCATGTTCATCGCATGGTCTGTGTCACTACCAAGCTCACATGGTATCTTATTTATCCAATATTTTGACCTAAAGGCATGATCACACACCGGAATCAAGCCCACTCACAGTGAACAGTGCAGAAAAGGTGAAGCTTGAAGAGGAAAGGACACTAGCTAAATTGAGCTTTTTCTTCGTCTTCTAGTGCTGCAAGGCTGTACACTGTACAATGGGCTTGTGGGGAATCCACTCCACTTTGGCCTGAAACTGAAAGAGTTAGCTAAATCAGTGCTACTGACACTGGCAAAGGGTCTTTAATTTCTTACAACGAATGGGCATAGCACATTGCACAAACGGTGGAGGCCTGCCTTTCTTCACGATTTTCAACCCAGCCTCTCGTGTATCTATAGCCCATGTCATGTCATTAAGGTTGCAAGAGTTGGGTTGGGTTGAGACTTTGTTAAATTTTCAATTGGGCCAAATTCTAATCCCAATCTAATTGAAATTCTTCGAATTGGACAATCCAAACTTGTGTCTACTTGGAACATACATTTTGACTAACACAAAAAATTTGGCGTTTTGGGCATTTTAACAAGCATCTTGCTGGGTCATTGGAACCAAACATATCCTTCTCTCTACTACTTTTCATCTTTGTGTGTGATACCATGCATTTAGTGCCCAGGAAGGATATCATTGTACACCACTTGAATTAGGTAGGGTTGATTCTTATTTTCATGTTCTTAGCTCACATTCTTTCTCTCTCTGAACTAATAAATGCTCTTATCCAGGTTTAGGTCACATTGTTTTTTGTTTGATCCATACCCCTCATCCGGATTACTCAGCTTCACAATTACTGTGAAGGTTCATTTTTCAGAAGATGGTTCTGACCTTATGGGTGGTCCATGATTAAAAGATAACATATAAAAATAGTTTTAGCGCAAAAAATGAAGATGATGTACTCATGTACTTATCACTTGCAGCTCCAACAAACGATGGCCGGTCCCGGCCCATTGTAATTATAATTTTTTCAGCCTTACGTTTATCCATTCAACTCAAAACAGCATGGTTTTCGAATCACCGTTGACCTGTATGGTTGGATCGTTCGGCCTGCGAATCGTTCAAGTAATTGATTCTGTTTTACCTCAAACCCGATTCTTAGTAAAAAATTATTGAATTGGTTAATGACTCATTGACCTATTCAATCGTTTTTGGTCATTTTTTATTTTTAATTATTTTTTATTTTTTAATTTTTGTTGTTAGAATGGGCCGCCCATTCAAATTGGACGGTCGAACCGGTGGCCAGAACGATTCCATTTCCAGATCATTTTTTAAAACCATGCAGAATACTTACATATCACTCCCCATTGTAATTATAACAAATCTTTGAAAATAAATAAACAATCTTAGGTATAAGCTTTAAAAAATAAGTATTTAAAAATAAACCCAAAATTTAAGTTTCTTAAATAAGTGTTTATTCCAAACTAACCTAAGAAGTGTTTATTCACCTTAGAAGTCGTTAATTGACCTCACATCACCTAACGCTAAGCCAACCTAAGAGCAACTAAGTTGATCAAACTATCTAACTTGTCCAAACCAACTTGATCGAATTCACCTCAGAAGACTATCTGTATTAGGCCAACCTGATACCAATTCAAAATATGTAGTACATCTAGTCAACCGAATAAGCAAAATGTGGACATCCTTACATCCATATAGATGCTACACATGGCCAAGCTTATGAAAACATTAATGCCAATACATTCAATGCAGGTCCATTGCCTAATATGTGCACACAATGTCTCAATTAAAAGCCTGACAAGTGGCCCAAGCTCCAACCATAGGGATGGCAACTTTCCCCATCCCTGACGAGTATCTGGGCTCCCCGACCCAGTGGGGTCAGGTATGGGGATTGCTTTGGCGGGGTTGGGGTCAAGGATGGAGCTAACACTGAATCCCTGATCGGGTTTAGGGATGGGGATGGGGAATGCATTCCCTGCCCCGCCCTAGCCCGGATATTTATATTATAATATTATTGTATTATATATTATTTGGTTAACAAATAACAATTTCAATTAACAATTAATTAAACATTACACAAAAAACTCTCGAGAGTCTCTTGACTCTCTAGTCTCTTCTACTACCACTCGACAGACAAAAGAAAGAACAGAGGTGGCGGCTAAAACTCAAAACCCTAGTACCCTACTCTTCTTCTTATATTCTTCCTTTTTCGTCTATCATCACCTTGTCGGTACTCTCTCTCTCTCTCTCAACTCAGTGCTTTCGATTTCTGATTTTTGAAATATCAAATAGATTACAGATGTAAGATGTTACACATTTGTATCTACTCACAAGTCGCAAATTTGAAGTTTCTCTCTCAAAGAGATCTAAGTCTACTTCAATACTTCCAAAGAGCAACTTCGCAAGTTCCTGTAAAACTCACAAATCACAATTAGGGATTTGGGTCTCTAACGGGGAACTCATCCCCATCGAGGTCGGGGATGGAAGAGAAATTCTTTTCCCGTCGGAGATTAGGGACGGGGATGAGGGGTGATTTGGGGGTCGGGGTTAGGGATAGGGAATATAATCTCCGGCCCATTGCCATTCCTATCCAACCATATTTGAATGATGTGCCCATTCTTAGATGAAACTCCTCTCCTATAAATAAGACAGTTTTTCATTTGTTTAAAGACATTGCGTCAAATACTATACACAAGGCATACATCCGATACCTCAACATACTGTACACCTTTAATGCTCACTTTGTCTCTCCTCACCTCATATCATATATCTCATCAAGCTATTCAGCTCATCTTATTTACTTTTAGCATTGTTTACTTGACCTCAAAATCCACACCTCCGAAATCCCTGAGGTCTCTTATGTTCTCTTCTAGTCATAGGTGTTCTGTAGCAACTGAAATACCAAG